TTGTTTCCGGTGCAGTCTGCCCTTTGTCCGACGGCAGAATTATCCTCGGAACGATGACTTGATCGTTGACGTTCGCATCAGTTCCCACACTCCCCCCTCTCCACCTTCCAGCTGTCGCCCAGTGTCTAGACAGTCACGAGGACTGGAGATGGTATAGCATGCAGAGGTTGACAGAGCTAACAGGTCTGGCTACAGCTCTCACAATCACTACTGGCGGTCGCAATTAAAGCGAAGATGGCCTGCTAGTCGGCGTCCGAGTCGTTAATTTCCGTGATTTCCTCATCTGTGCTGGATGATGCGTGTGGCGTGATAATTACTCGACAAATCACTTTGCTGCCAATTTGACCTGTTGATCCGCCGGTCTCGAGTGAGAATTCAGGATGCCAGGTCAGTAAACTCTTTATCCTGGCGATTATATCTTCTCCTTCTGACTACATCAAGTATTTGAACTGCGATGCTCAGGTCTAGGAGGTCAGCTTGCATTTACTTCAGGCCAGTTCGGACGCGTGAACGTCCTACAAGTATGCCTGTGTGTGAGCGATTTAGGCTGTCTGAGGGCGACGTTTAGACATTAGAGGCTAAATAAGCTGAGTGCTTATTTTTCTGCACCCGTTAAAGGCGATACCACCCTGGTTCTTCATTTTGCTGACACGAGGCTTTTTGTCTTTGGTCGCAAATAATTTATTTTGGGTCCCGGTGTCATTAACGAAGCTGAAACCCACCAATGCTGCGCCCACAGATTGCAACCACTTCCTTGCTGGCAGTTTTGCCATTTTTGGGGTTTGGTCCAAAAAAACCCCCGGAGGGTGACAGTTAGGCGTTGCTCCTTCCGTCTTTCTTACAGCAAAAAGTCCCTACAGGCAATACCCCAGAAATTACTCTCTCCGTGATTCAGAGTGTGTGTGTGCCTGAATACGTTAACTGATGCGCCGTTTCTGGTGTGGAATGTAACGTGTTCGTGCTTTGAAACACATGGCTGGCCTCCAAAATTAGCATAGTTCCCCAGAAGTCGGTAAATTGTCGGCAATGTCCCGCGTGTGACCAGGAGACCGCGGTGTGAACCGACTACACCACAAGTATGTACTGAAAGCAAACCACAGACACATTAGAGATATCTTACGTCTAAGCAGGGTGGACGAACTCTGTTTGGCGTAGCTATTGAAAATAAGAACCGTTCCGGTCTGCGGCAACGGTTGGAATTTACATAATTGGCTTACAGCAGTCGCCGCATCTCATACAATATTAATTCAAGTTCGGAAGTAGGATCTTTGTTAAAGGCTAGCTTGGGCCATTGTAGTATTTATCAGACAGCATTATCCCAAGATATGGCAAGCAGGCCAAGATGGCAGCTATTGAATGCACGTCGTTCAGATTTTCTAAAGTTTCGTATTGAACACCAAGATCGGTCAAACTGGGTTTTGGTAAATTTGCAGTTTTTAATATGCACTGCGGAAAGAATGCAAATAACATATAACGTCAAAATAACATATTCTTACGTAACTGAACACTTTTTAATACCGAGAAATACCATTTCTTCAAGGATAACATTTGAATAAGACGTAGTTTTCTGTGAAGAGAATAAAAAGCATGAATAGGTATGTGCACGCTTTCTATAAAAAATAGTTGAACTTATAAGGGCAGTAAACATAAATGGAAAACAGGCACTACTTAAGTAGTCATTTTTACCTCGTCTTTGAAGGCGACTGGATCGAAAGCAGCCGCATAGCGACTAGTAGTATGCTTAGATAATGATTTACATACGCAACGGTCTGTGAGGCTCTAGATTCAGTCCTAAGACACAACTGGTGGAACACATTTCATAACCAGAACTGTGAGCGATCATCTGTCATAATATTTCCGAGCCTAATCGAGAGGACAATGGACCAGTTATTCAACTGCAGAGCTTTCGGCTCGATGAGGAAGGATCCCGACATGGACACCCATGACCTCCTAATTTGGGTCACGCTACAACTTTTTGATGATGACCAATAAGTCAAAAATAGCTACCCCTATCTCTTCGTTGATACTCACTGATATATATATATATATATTGCATTAGAAGTCACTTGAGGAAACACAA